TGTTGTCTGGGTGACTTTTTAGCCGTCAACCCGTCACAAGAGCCGACTGAACGCGGCCAGACGGATTTTGCGGTGGCCCGCAGTGATTTATGATATTATTATATCTCATTTTCTCTTGGGGAAGAGAGACACAGAGCTGTTACCATTGGGGTGACACCCTCGGACTCGTCGAAAGGACCGAACAATGCGCAGACCCGGTAGTGTCTTCTTCTCTTTTGTGCGTCGGCCGTTTGTGCATTATTATACGTTTTAAACACACCTGAACTGTATACTACAATATGTGTTATACTTATATGTACCTACGTCCAAAGACCCAAAGAAAACGTCCGCCTGGCTCGTTCGAGTGGAAAAAAAAAAACGCCCTGCCAATCTTTGCAGACAATAATAGTTATCGCTTCCTCTCGGACGCGCACGGTTTATCCGATTATGATAAAAAAAAAAATAATAATAATAATAATAACACCAGCCGTTATACTGTTGTGTACCTGTTGTAGCTGCGTCGTTATCGCAGGGTAAACGAAAACCGAGTGATGGGTAAAAAATTACATTACAGCCTTCCAATCCAACCAGATGTATCCAAAAGCCCTGATTCTAAGCCTAATCTATCTGTCTATCTATCTATCTATCTATTTGGTGGGTGGGGGTAGTCGAGTGACACACATGTTTAGACTTGGCCGGCACTGCTGCGGTGGAGAGGAACGAGGATGATGGCGCTTTTCGCGAGCGCCCGAGTCGGTTGTGCGCGCATTGTTCGCCGGTTTTTATATATTATACAGCAATACGTATAGGTGGTACTTTATATTGCCACCGGAGGGTGGCGAAGGTCATTTATATTGGAAACGCGCGGGTTTATCGGGAAATGATGTACACGGCCGAACAATAGTAATAATTCTAGTCTATATGTACAATATATTATTATGTATCGTACAACGGCTGTGCGCGTTATACATTTTATACGACAACACCGGCAGCTGTTGCCGGGAAAGGATGAAAAGGCTACACATCATCCAGTGCAGATATTGCATTCATTTGGCCGTTAAATCCGATACCTGAACCGTTTTTAAATAACAATAATAATAATAATAATACAGCATATTATTGCGGCGTTCCAGCTATATCGAAAGCGGCCACTCATAATCGCAGCGGCAGAACGAGCATTAAATTTAATCCGCACCCCGTTGGAATATTTCCAATATTATAAATAATAATAATAATATGCTCTCTGAAAACAATACTAATAATACCTGGCTGACGTTTATTTGTGTTTTTTAATTTCAATTATTTTTTTTTTTTTTGTTGTCTGCCATCGATTGACGGGGCTTATGCCATTTAACAACGCACTTAACGCACTGCGAGTTGAATACCGACAAGAGTGGACTAATTACTGTAGGCCGACCAACGACTATATGTATATTACTATGTAGAAAAAAAAATGGTCGGTACTCGGTGAACGTGCAAATGCACACTGTAAAATATGTATGCATCAATTGGGACAATCGATAAAAAATTGCTCATTTTTTCGTTGAAATGTTTGTTAAAATACAGACATACAGTGTTTTCGCGTGGACATGACCGTACAACAACCGAATAAGTCGATCAAGTTAAAATAGGTTCGTTTTGGTTTGGTTTGGTCAAGTTCGATTTGATGTACTTTGGTTAGGATAAGTTGTCTTTGCGTGTTTTAACATATGCCCTTACAGTTTACACTAGCATTTGTTAAGGCACATTGTATAGGCAATTTTTTAATGATACTTTACATTAAGCTGTCATTTGCATACAGCCAAGACGTGTCTATTTTGATATTAAATGTTTTATTCAACTTTAAAGCGCATACAAGTGCTATTTTCCTACAAAAACACAATATGTTTCTCGTTCGAACAATTCCTAAGAACACTCGGATTCAAGGAACCATTTAGTTGACTTTAGTCGTATTGAGTTGTCGCGAACCTGTGTAATTCTTGAAAAGTGTCTCTTCTATTGTGTTGTCGAGACCATCGTTTTGCCACTATCGTCGACTTGGGCCAATTTTTTTTTTTTCGCACCTCAACACCGCGACAGTATACCACTTTTCGGCTTAACTTAAACTAGGTACGAATTGTACACCACCTGTTTGGAGCCGTACCGTAGACAGGCTGATACGGTATGTATTACAACCGTTTTGCCAAAGAGTTGTAAACCCATAAACGCCAGCAGATAGTAGGTATTTAAAACCGACACCGTGGGGCTTTTCGTCAGCTGCTGTGTATGGTTTTCGACCGCGGTGGTTTACAGGGTGCGCTCGGTGAAGCATTATTATTATCGTTGTGTATACACCGTGTGAAAATTAGGATATCACGCGAATTAAATGGCTCGGAAGCGACTTGGCCCGTGTGTGTGTGTGTATACAAACCGCAGCCGTATCTCGCGGCAAAAGGGTTGACTTTGTTAATGTATATATATATATATATATTTTTTTTTTTTTGTCTCCTCCGCACACACAATCGACCCCGACGAGTTTTATTAAAGGGTTAGGGGATTCACCGGTCGTTGTGATTGTCCCTTACGATAAAAATCAGCAATTAAAACGCCTTCGTTAAGACACACCGAGACGCGCGGTTAACATTGTAATGTTACAGTGCACAGTTGCGCGTTAATCCCGCGGGAGACACGCGATCGAGCAATTAAAAAAAAAAAATAGTCAAAAAACACAATAATAATAACACGGGTTAGGTTGGTTATGATCATAGCCTATATATATATATAGAGACCCATAGGCCTCTATAGCTTGTTAATTTTGAATAGATTTTAGAGTGATTCGAAAAAAATAAAGCTGTCGAGTCGGCTCGGAAAACGGATAGCTAAAAAAATAAGGTGTGATATGTTCAAAACGAATAAGTATACATATATACATATATATATATATATACCTATTAATCTATGTGTTAATCAAACACTAATATTTTATCTTACCTCGTGTGTCTTTGGACACGCTGTTTGCTCGTTAAAATAATACAAAAACTATATGGTTAAGTGTATCCACGTGTTCGTCAGCCGCTACAGACCAGACGATGTGTGTAAATAATAATAATTCTTAACAATACTAGAACGTTAATTAAAAAGATAAATGTATTACATTACTACAACGATATGGAGTGTACCTGTATAGGTATAAAAAAAATGTCCTCGTGTGTGCTAAGTATACTAAAACGATTAACACACACTTTATCTTTGTTTTTTTATTTGTTTAAACGGCTTCTTTTTTCTATTTTATTTTATTTACTGTCGTTAATTTACATAATATTATTCTGACGGCTAAAGAAACCGTGTTTTTGCGTTGCCACGAATTTTGGAAATAATGTTTTTTCAAAACCGAAAATGTCCTATATTATTTTACTTCATTATTATATATGTACATTTTTTCTACTGTAGATACTACAGGCGCCAGATAAATCATTTTTTTTTTTTTTCATTTCCAAAGTTCAACGGTATTAAGACGTTTGGATCGTTTACCGTTTAGGTGGAAATGTTGAGGAAAAAAAAACCGACAACTGTTTTATTATTTAACACTGTCGCCGTCGATATATACTATTATACTTAAAGTTTTTTAGTCGACAATTCTCTTGTTAGTGTTTTTATTTATTTATTTTTTTTTTTACTTGGCTTGACCGATTCTTAGCAGTTAGCACCGTTAATTTGTTGACGAGCCTTTTTTTTTTTATATTAATAATATACAGTGGCCCGTTAAAAAGTCGCCCTTTGGCAACTGCACTTCCAGATGTCGATTAAACCGCATCCGGAGAAGGAGAACAAAAATCGCAAATCATCAGCTTTTTTTTAGAAAGAAAAATAAATTGAAAAAAAAAATGTAATTTCACGAGGCGAACGCGTTTCCTGCTCGTCGGAAATCGATTATGTTATTCAAATGCGTAGAAATCATTTCATTGCTAAGAAACAGCTCAAGTACATTAGTAGTTTCAGCATTTTTTTTTTTTTGCTTCAGAAATCACACGATGACATATAAAATACATGTGCATATTATTGTGTAAACGAGCGTGTACTGCATGAGTATAGTAAGTTTACTTGACACAGATTATGTAATATATGTCATGTTTATTTTAATTTTCCAAGCACTGACTTTAACCTAACCTGTACAGGTTTGAATACCGTACATCTGTTTTATTTCTCAGACATTTGCACAACCGAGTTTAGTGTAAGATAATCTTTCTTTTAGACTACATCGAAATTCTACGTTGATTTTTATTTTACAGATTTTTGAAAATATATTTTAAAAAAAAATTCTCACCGTCGAATTCAAAACTGATTTTGGTATATTAAAAAACATGTAAAAAATTGAACGAGTCACACAAATTTGAAATTTCCAATTCGCCAATTATCACCAAGTGCGCTCAGCTATTTTCCAATTATTTAGATCAAACATATTTTCTAAAATGACGGTTTAAAAGGTTAGTTAAAACTTTTGTAATATATATTATTGTTAATTGAACATTAGAATATATAATTATAGTGTTTAATGTTGGATCGTCGTGCAAAAAGTTTAAATATAATAACATAATGAGACAACGTTAAAACCGTCATTAGTATATTAATATTATTATACCGATAATGTTAAAACGTTTTGTAGTTGTTGTGGAAATATGTTTTTGCTATGTTTTTTTTCTAGTTTTTGCCCGAGACAAACTATAACAATATTTTATGTGTTATGTGTGAAATTTCACTGTATGTGATTTATTTCTATGACTTTTAATTTTATAGTTTTCGAATTTGTGATAATTTTGGGACTTTGCCGAATTTTTCGATTAACCATTGTACTTACATTTTATTTTTTAAAAGACTATAATTTTGTTACTAAATACAATATTTGGAAAATCTTCCTGTCATTAGACATATAATATTCATTAGGTTAAGAGGGGTTTTTGTTTCTAAAAACTACTCAAAAGCAGATTAAGATTTAATAAATTGTAAAATTAAGCAAAATATTAATTTAATATATTAATATTTACCAGTATTTTTTCTTATCAAAACAGGTGTCTGCTGTGTTGTTGAGAGTTCGTACCTATGTACTCTGGTCGAGCTCGGGTCGGTCCGGGTGGTCTCGCGTGTCGTCCAAACGGCGTGCCGGCAGTCACTGGCGCGGGCCGTGCCGGTGCGTGGGCTCTGGCACGCGATGGGAGTGGCCCGGGTACGCGAGTGCGGCGCCGCCGTGCGTCCAGGCCCCGCCCGCGGTGGGCCACGTGCGAACGTCCGCCGGCGGGCGCCGGGTGACCCACATCCGCGCAGACCGAGGGGGGCGCGTTTTTACCCAGTTCCCGACTTTCTCGGCACCCGCCCAAACCCCCGACCGCGGGGCCCCCCCCTCGAGTTTTCCTCGAATCCGGTGGCACAGACACCGACGGCGGCGCATTGCGTTACCTAGGTAAATCACCTGACTGCGTCAGCCGGCCGCCAGTTTCTGTAATAATAATATTACAGCTGTTGTTTAAATGTTGTAGGCATTACCTGGTTACAATATTATACGGTCACTTAAAACTATGTATTGACGTTTGCCCCGAGTGGGAATTCCCCTGGGGGAGGGAATAGGAATTAACGGAAGCAGCAAATCAATCCCGAGGCTTCATTGCGCAATAAGGCAATTGCTGTGACAATTTTAAGTACCAATCATATTTCAAAAATGTTCAACGCTATTTTGTACTGAAATACTATAATTTTTTATAATTATTATTATTTATTTAATTAATAAACCCAAGTTATGATTGGTAACCAAGCCTGAAATTAAATTGAAAAAAATATGTATTGATTGGAACAAAATTTTACTTCTGTTATTTTGTATATGACTGTTGGTAATGTATCCTTTTGGCTACAACACATAGTTCAACAACTAAAAGAGCTATACATATTCAGTGACCTAAAATTAGTCAAATATAGTCACTTAATAATTTCCAGTGCTGGAATAGCAAGTAGTAAAGCTGGAATAGTGGCTATATTTGAGTGTAGAACTTTAGAGACCAGGATCTGCATCAAAATTAGAAAGTTGTGTTGCCTCGGTAGCAAATTTAAAATATAGATTTGCAATAAGGTAATACTATTATTTTTTTAGTAAATTTCGCCATTTTATAACTATTTGATTCAGTAAGCTCTCAACATTAGTAAGTAACTCGATAATAGTAACCGTAACTTAATTGCCAAAGAAGTAGAAAACGAAATGATGATTGGAAAATGTTATGTAATCCCGGCAGGTATAATCTAACAGGCGAAATCATTTTTAAAATTGCATAGCTAATTTGAAATTTTAATTCTAATTATTACATAACCTTTTTTTAGCTCGCTAATTAACTGAAAAGGTATAATATAAATATGTAAAAAAATTCCTACTGGGTAATTTTGAATAACACATTGCCAAACGCTAGTTTTCAAAATTAAAAACATTTAATTAAAATAATAATTTCAAGCTATCAAAATTCAATGTATAATATTACATATAATTTAAGAAAATATATACATTTATATTCATAAAAATAAAACTATTTTTATATAATTTTTTAATTAATGTCTGAATCGAAGAGAAACAGTGTGAACAAAAAAATTAATTGACGTATAATTGTATAATATATTTCGCTCATCATATTACTTTTTTTAAATTCTAAAAATTATATGAAACATCCTTTGTAGAGTAAAATAATAAGATATACTAAAATCTAAATCAAATTCAAAGAAAAACGTATATAAGAAACCAAAATATCAAAAATTTACTATTTATGTTTTAAACCTACAACAGTGAAACTATAATATTATTATAGAGTAAATAATATAATTATACTGTTTAACTATACAATTTCAACAACAACCATATCATGCATTTGATCTCTTTCTTGAGTACATAACAATAAAATATCTATTATTTATATTCCATTTAAATTGATTCGAGCCATAAAACATTATGAGTTAAATGTTTCCAAATCATATTTTGCTTAATTTGCAAATTTACAATATGGGTTATTTTCAATTTATTATACTAACACTTGTGTTAGTTATATCGATAGGTAAAACACCAGAGACAAATTATTGCTTTGGCTAATAAGATACCAGGTCTAGGTATCTATACCTGGATAATTTTATCATTGTAAATAGAGAAACAATATTACTAAAAATTGTAATTCGTATATATAATAATAATAATAATATAATATTATATATTATAATAATATGATTTTTTTTCCTGGAAGGTATTACCTATTTTTGATGTCAGTTGCACAATCGTTCTTCAATACTTTTGCCATTTTTTCCGGTTGCCTAACCGCCTAATCGTTAACGTTTTTCGAAATGCTTTGACGTGGAAAAATAGAAGGAATGTAATATTATATTTTAATATAGGTACTTACTCGGCAGTCGGATTGATTCTGAAACGAGCTATTGTGAAATTTAAAATAAGGGGATTTTCCAAAGAAATCTTTCCAGAACTTTAAGTAGGTTTTTTTGTATACAAACAAGTATTATAAGTAATTTATTGTGTAATATAATCTCAAATATACACCCTGTATATAGGTGCACTTATTTTTTTTTTAACAAATTTAATCCTTACCTTGAACGAATGACATTGGATCGCGAACACGTTTTGTAATCAGTTAATCTTCTGATAATCCCTTATCAGTATCCCCATCTCATTTTTCTTCAACCAATTCACTAGGTAAACTTAATGGATCGGTATATGTTATATTTTAACATGGTAACGTTTTTAGACTGAGGGTCAACCAATAAAAATATATATATTTTTTTTCATTCGGTTTGTTTACTCAATTACTCTAATTAATTACTCATTAACTCTGAATGACCATTCGTTTACAAATTTTGTTTACACAATGTACTTGATTAATTGATTCGTTTATTCTATTTATTACCACAGGTATTCAGTTTTTAGATTGTTAGATTTATTTACTAGATTTGCTTACTCGATTAATTCATATTTTAATTTGTTCATTCTATTTGTTTCTCAATTTGTTCTCTCGATTTATTTATTTATTTACTCAATGTATTTACTCGATTTGTTTTATCGAATTCTTAACTCGTTTATTCAATTTACTTACTCGTTTATTCGATTTACATTTCTGTTATTTTGTATATATAACTGTTGGTAATTTACCAATCCATTTGGCGACAACTCATAACTTAAAAACTAAAAGAGCTACCATATTCAGTGACCTCAAATTAGTCAAATATAGCCAACTTAATACATTTCAGTTGTGTTTTTCAAAATCTGCCAAGTTAAAGGTTAATACCTTCACCGCTAGGGCTAAAAGGTAGATTTTTGATTTTGCTATTAGAAACTACACACATTATTTGGGTTCGTCGATCAATCAACTTGGGGTTCACTCTGGGCTAGTTTAATGTAACAGGCCGGTAACGCCTATATACTCCTTAGGGACTACATTGCAACCAGCGGACACAAACCACACAGAAACTATAATTAGCCAATAACAACTAATTACTTTGTCAGTCTAACTAGAGAAGACATTTAATTATAATTAAAGCTGGAATAGTGGCTATATATGAGTGTAGAATTTTAGAAACCAGGATTTGCATAAAAACTGAAAAGTTTGTGTTGCCTCGGTAGCTATGAGTTTTTTTGTGAGTCTTTTGAAGAGTGAGTTTGGCCGTTTAACTTCCGTTTTCTTAAGTGTAAATTCAAAATTTGTTATGCTAATTGGCAATATTTGTGATAATACTACAAATGTTGATAAAAGTAAATGCAAATTTAAAATATAGTTTACTATTAATACTACCCAATTGCATAACTAAATAAAATTTGAATTCTAATTATTACATAACGTTTATTAGCTTGCTAATTAACTAAAAAGTATAATTTAAATATTTTTTACTGGGTAATTTTAAATAACACATTGCCAAACGCTAGTTCCCAAGGTTAATTAAAAAACCAGTTCATTAAGTTGATAAACTTTTTGTGTAATATACCAGTATTATATTTTAACATGCTAACGTTTTTAGTCTGAGGGTCAAGCAATAAAATTATATTTACTCTAATTGTTTACTCATAAACTCTACACGTTTTTTCGTTCACTCAATTGGGTTACTCGCTTACACTTTTTGTTTACACGGTGCACTTGATTAGTTGATTCGTTTATTCTATTTATTACCACAGGTATTCAAGTTTTAATCGTTCGTTAGATTTATTTACTAGATTTGCTTACTTGATTAATCATATGCTTACTTGCTTACTATATTGCTTACTTGGTTCATTCTATTTATATACTCATTTACTCAATTTGTCTTATTAATTTATTTATTTGTTTACTCAATGTATTTACTCGATTTGTTTTATCGATTTCATTACTCGGTTAACTTACTAGATTCATTTGCTTACTAAATTAGTTACTCGGTTTATTCACTAGTCTATTCGATAAATTGTTATTTTAATTTGTTTATTCTATTTATTTACTTGTATACTGAATTTTTTTCTCGATTTTTTTTTTGGTTACTCAATGTATTTACTCGATTTACCTACTAGTTTTCTCGGTTTATTTACTAGTTTACTCGATTTGCTCACTTTTTTTATTTATTCGTTTATTCAATTAATTTACACGATTTGTTTTCTCGTTTATTCGATCCATTTACTAGTTTTCTCGATTAACTTGCTCGATTCATTTACTTACACAACTACTCGATTTATTTACTAGTTTACTCGATTAATTAAAATTGTAATTTGTTTATTCTATTTATTTACTCATTTACTCAATTTGTTTTCTCGATTTATTTATTTGTTTACTTTGTTCTCGATTCATTTACTCACTCGGTTACACTATTGATTTACTAGTTTACTTGATTTATTGTTTTAACAAAGCCCAAAGACATTAGTGTGCATTTTATACATATCTTAGCTTAAAATCTCACAATTTTTTCGTTAGGCAGTATTATATTTTATATTTTTTTTTTTTTGGTTTTCATTTTCGCCAGCTTCGAGGGTCCACAGGCCGGCCGAGAAACGTGCGTGGGCCTAAACGTTAAAACATAATATTATCATAATAATATATATATTATACGTGCGCATTAAATCATTAAAATAATATTGCGCGCCAGCCGGCCAAAACTCGTCCCGTAAACTT